GCGGAACTATACTGCACATGATCAATCAGGCCTTGAAGTGTTTCTCTCCGAAATAAATTCTGATGACTTTTGATATAATTCAGCCTGTTCCACTCCATAGTAATGTAACCATGTAGAATATATTGCTGGGATAAACGACCAGCAGAGGTGAAAATGTTAAAGTCTCTAAGCACTCGCAACCGCCATCCAAAATACTGTATAGCAGTAACACGACTTGATCCTGCATTATTTGGTACGTTTAGGGAATAACCAGGATCACCTGATGGAAAAAGCAATGGGAAAACCATTGGTTCCACATGATGAGACAGTTTATACATCTTTTGACACACAAACTGGTGTTTTGGGTATGCGATAAATTGTACATGATCGGGTATTAAACCTTCAGCACCTGTCACAACAACAGCCGACACTTCAGCAGCAGCACCAGATGTTGGAAGATTATAACGTCTGCCATCAGTAGTGGTCAACTTGTGAAATTCAAGGCGAACACTCTCCGTAGGATGCCTCTTATAAGCTTCAAACAGTGATTTATACACTTGAGCGTATGGGTTTAGCTGCATAACATCTTGAATGATTTTTAAAACACTTGGTTTGCAGCACTCAGATGTTCGGCAGGCCAAAGCAGTTTCATTTTCATGGATATAGATTTGCGCAAAACGTGGTTTTTCATTGTTCGCTGGCATGATGCTGGTTGTGGCCATTGCGCTAACTTCCCCACGAAGAGCAACACAGCTTATACCTTTAAATTGAATTTCTTGGGTTGCACAAAATGCTGTCATAGCAAAAGACGAATTTTTTGTCAATTTATTCTTCGACGCTCTTGCTCATTTTGACGAAACGTGGGATCCAATCTCCGCTGTCTGCGATATTCTCGATCGCGATCTGTCCTGTCAGACATTATACTGAAATTCCAAAATTTAATCATTTTAAGGTAAGCAAGTCTCAGTAAGCTTTATAATAGCAAACAACAAAAATGTAAACATTAAAAGATATCAATCACTGGATAGGCATAAGAATGATAAGATAAGATGAGATGTAATCAGCAAAAACCCACTCAAAGTAAATCAACAAAAAGCTTTGACTCGAATGCGTTCTCTTTTCTGATTGGCTTAAAACTGCATCCTCTCTTGGATTGGCTACTTCTTTCATACTGTCACGTGATACCTTAGATTTCATTGGCTGGTGCGACACCATCATTGGATTTTTATATATATAGATATATATATATATATTCATTCTTGGATCTCCTCTTTTTTACTTTCTGACTACTCTCATCCCTGATTTTTTAATTCATTTTGCTCATTTTTTAATTCATTTAATTCATTTTGCATTAACCCTTTTGATGCAGATGGGGCACTGGTGTCCCTTTTATATATTTTTTTCTGATGCTTATATTACAAGTAAAAATTTATTTGGTATTTTTATTTATGAAAAAACAGTTTAATAAGTACTAAAAAATCAAAATTACTTTTTTTCTTAATTATAGAATCCAAAAAATGTAGTTTGAACTTTTTTTTTTTCATTCATATTCAAAATTTATCAATAATTGGTTTTTAAGTTAAAGAAATTTCTATGATGAATTACTGCTTCTCATCAATCTAAATATCTGCAAAGGAATGCAAATTTGAAAATTTATTATTTGGAAATGAGCCAACTGTGAAAAATGTTAAATTTGACATAAGAAAGGAACACCAATTTCTGATGCTATATTTCATAACAAAAATTATTAAAATTATTAATATAATATATTTTACATGTAATATATTAAAATTATTAATATAATATATATTACCCTGACTAATGCAAAATAATTAAAAAAAATGTTTAATAAAAATTCAGTGTCAAAAAATTAAGCAGCGCCCCATACAGCACCAAATGTCACATAACAAAAATGTAACATTGAAATATTTCTGCAACTTTGCGTGCTGTATGGGGTATTACTGGAGTCTCTATTCCATACCTGCAAATTTTTCCAGATTATCCAGAAGATTTTTATTTCTGAATTATGGCAAATTTAATATTGTTCTATTTCCCTCTTGCATATATTAATTAAATTTTGAACAATTTCCATCACCACTACATATAGATATATGAACAAAATAGTAAAATATTTTTACTTAAAACTGACATTTCAATTCACCACTTCAACTCAGAAAATTATTCTTGAATAGAGTAAAATTTACCAGACATGCTAGTTAAAAAATTTTTTCAAGTTAAACATTATCATGTAACATAAACATGGCTTCAAATTTTAAAGCTTTAAAAATTAAAGTACGGTGAATAAAAAAATATTACTGAAAACTGGTAACTGTTTTAAGCTGTCTAGAATCTTTCTCCTTAAAACAACATCAAATTACTCCATGAGGATTATTAGATTGTAATATGTAGGCTGTGCGTGGCTGTTAATATTCTCACTTTCCTAATTAAGTACAACTTTGGGTAAACCTAATGCATTTCCTGCTTTTCTAATTTCTATTACATCTCAACATTTTTTTCTCTTCATGTAAGAAAAAGAAACATTGAGTTTAGCAAGAAATTGCTTTTTACACTCTTTCGCAGCATTTTTATCAACAATCCGCCAAGAAAAATATTGTCCCCTACATGACTTTTTTTCAAGAAATATATAGATTTGGATTACAGATAAATACATATTAACTTTAAAATGAAACAAAATGATGTAAAAGAGATGAACATTCAAACTTTATATTTCCCAGCAGGTGTTAAAAGCTTAATATTTAATTAATATCATCTTATGAATTATAAGTAATTACCGAAATAAAAATACAATTTTTTCTTAAGATTAAAAATTTATTTCTTAGAAATCAAATTTTTACAAAGGTCTCACACTGCCCTCTGTTGATCAGGTTTCAAACTATAATAAGGTAAAACACCTAAAAATTCAAAACATACTAAGAATTTTAATAATTTTTTTTTATAAAAGTAAAAAATAAAAATATTTTCAACAATACAATATTGTCAAATGAATAATTATAAAATAAAAGTCACTACTATGCTAATTTCAATCAAAACATTGTTACTCTCTGAACTGTTTACATCTGACTCACTTGGTTTATGATGTTGCAAGAATTAAAAATTCTTAGTCTTCAACTTTTTACACTAAACTTAATTCAATCCTAGGTTTAACTGAAAGTTTCCTTTATCTAAAAATAAATAGCAAAAATGACCTATCACTCTAGATTTCTAAATTAATTAGAAAGTTATAAAAATTTTATTTAAAAAAAATATCATTTGTATTTGTTGTAGTTCATTTGCGTCGCACTAGAACTGCACAATGGGCTATTGACGATGGTCTGGGAAACATCCCTGAGGATGATCCGAAGACATATCATCAAAATTTTGGTCCTCCGCAGAAGGTATGGCACCCCCGCTTCGGTAGCCTGACGACCTGAATGCGAAGTAGAGAACTTTACGATAGAAAAGTTTAACAAGGACCAATACCCCACACCCTTGGTCCCTACGCAGACTAATCCAAGTGGTCACACTGACCCCCAGCCAGTGATACTTGACTTCAGTGATCTGCTCGGAACCGTGTCTTAACGATCAGCCTACTGCGTTACTCATTTGCATTTAGTATTGAAAGTATTCATTACACTTTGGTTGTCATTGACTAATCTAGCTTTCTTATGAATATCTGTGTCACTATAGTCTTACACTACCCATTTTAACCACTTTCAGATCACCTACCATCGAGGATAAAACTTCATAGTTTAAAGGTAGGGTCTGATCAGTAATTTTATAAAATATTTTTAACATCTCATCTTATCTACACATTTCTTTTTTAATAATTTTTAGGATTTAAGCAGGGCCTGATCTATCATAAAGCCTGAGAGGCCCGAGTATAGGTTGCCCACTTGTCTGGGTGGCCCCTAAATGTTACAAATATTCTTTGTGTGTTTTTCTTTATGAATTGTCTATTAGAATTATGATGAACAAAATTTAAAATATAAGTACAAGTTTTCAATATATTATAATTTACTTGTGTTATAAAAAACTTAAACACATTTTGTTAATGAACAACATGTTACCATATTTTTCGGTGAAAGCGCCGCACATTGATAAAATTGAAATTTTTTTAAAAAAAGTTATAGTTTGCGCCGCTCCGGCGCAAGCGCCGCAATGGCGCTAAACCGGGCATATCAGCATCCTTTTAGAAGAGACCTTTAAATTACCATTTAGAATATCTGTATAATAGAAAATTAAATTTTTGTATGCATTTCATGAAGTAAAGTTTTAATTTCTAAATTATAATAAAAAATTCCTTTTTCAGCAAAAAGAAAACAACAAAACAATATAAAATAAAGTTGTTCTTACCAGTTGGCACCGTGCCAAAAAACAGAAGAACAACAAAAAAATTTTTTATATGTGCAGTAGTTACACTGAACTGATTGCAGAAATCAGTAAAACAATGTAATAAGGAAAGTAAAATAAAAATTTATTATAAGAAAGATTTTAAAATAAAAAGATTTTAAAATTTATTACCGTTAACAATTTGAGGAAAAACTAATACATAATAACGAAACATCTAATAATAACGAAATAACTAACAGTAACAAGAATAATAAATAACCAAACAAGCCCCAANATAAAAAGATTTTAAAATTTATTACCGTTAACAATTTGAGGAAAAACTAATACATAATAACGAAACAGCTAATAATAACGAAATAACTAACAATAACAAGAAAAATAACTAACTAAACAAGCCCCAAAAAAATTCTGAAGGAATGAGAGAAGAGGAAATAAGTTTCACTTTCACAATCTTAGGGGGTGGAATTTTAGTGGGTAGAATGCCCGCTCCTTCAATGGAAATAACCCAATGTGACTCAACTTAGAAAGAGAGAAAAAAATGTTTAAAAGAGGGGTGTACCCCACCTCCTCCACGTGTCATTTCTACTGGAGCTGTTTAGGAGAAATCAATCAGTTATATTTTAAAGGGGTTGGGGAAAAGAAAAGGGTATGGGACCCCTAATCCAGCATTCCAAAATTCAGCACTTAATCTGATCTAATTTTTTTTTCTTTTTTTTTTAAGAAATTTATATTGATAAGATAAAAAAAAA